CCAACCTAAAACTTAAAAAAATTTCAAAAAAAAAAAAAATTAAAATCCGGACCGGGCCCGAACCGGCCGGGCCGGTTCACCAAAACCTGGGCCCGAGCCCGAACCGCCAAGCAGCCGGGCCGGGCCGAACCGAACCGGTGGACCCGCCGGGCCCCGGGCCGGGCCGGGCCAAACAGTAACCGGGCCGGGCCGCCCGGCCCGAGTCCAGCACTACCCGTTAGGAAGGGTCCAGGGAAGGGTCCCACCACAACGGTGTATAAGGACTCAGCATTGACCTGCCAAAATTTGACAAGAGGCCGCTCTCAAGACTTGATCGGTGCACCGAGGCTGTCTTTGGGAACTATACAGATATATAAGCTCCCAAAATTCAATCATCCACATAAGAAAATTGAGAGAAGATGGTCTGCAAAAACTGTTAGCCAGCGTCTAATTTAATTCATATTTGAGATTTTGTATGCTTTCACTACCCAGTACCCAAACAAAACTCTTATTCAACCCAACATTTTTAAATTTTTTAGTCTAAAAAGCAAAAATATAAATGTAATTAGTCACATGCTAGTAACATTTTTAGTCAAATATTCAATTAAAATAAATGTAATGGATAAAAATGTGTTAAATATTGCTTGAACAAAAGGGTTAGCACAAAATATAACCTAAGTTACTAGAAGCATATCATCATAACTACGGTGTAAATTAGAACTTTATCGTTATCACTAAAGTTATTTATATAATGTATAATGGCGAAATTCATACCAATACTTTTAATGGTTCTATAATAATAATAATAAAAAAGACAATACAAATAATCCAAACTCTTAAATATGTCTACATAGACAGATTAAACCTTCCATGATCGAGTAGAAGTCCATCCACCCGGTTTTATAAATCCTTTAAAAAAATTGTAGTAGTAATGATATAAAAAAGAGGGGATTTCACTTTGCACCCCACTTTTTGTAGGGGTGGGCAAAAATACCGAACCGGAATGATACCGAACCGAACCGAACCGGTATGGTACCGAACCGAAAAACGAAGTTTGAAATGGATCTCGAATTTTTTGTCCCGAACCGGGACGTACCGGTTATAAACAATGCCATGACCGGTTCTCATAAAATGAGAACCGCTACCCGAACCGGACCGCAGTATTTATATTTAATTAAATTTACATTTATACCATTACATTGACTAGTGTCTTGATACTTTCGACGTCTTGCTAGTTCATAGGAAGCCTGGAACCAGATAGATGTAAGTTGTAATTATTTAAATTAGTACTACTATAGTTTATCTGAGATTTATTAATTATGTAATACTATCTCAATTCCAAATTGATTTGCAAAATTAATTTTTCTTGGTTAAATAGTTTCCTTTTATTCACATAATTATGATGTCAAATTTTAATTATATTTAATTTCGAGTTTGCAACTTTAAAGAGATTTTAATGTAGTTTTTGAATATGCAAATTTTAATTGTTAAAAATTGAATTAATTATCAATAAAAGGGATTTAACTTTAACATTGGTTGACAAAAAAATATTGACTTTGCATATCAATTTGGGACAGAGGGAGTATGAAAATTGATAAAATGTGTAAATTTTTGGAGGATGGTTAAACTTTAATTTCTCCTTAAACACTTTAAAAAAGTGGCATTGTTTGATATTGGTATGACATGATACCGTCCCATTTGAAAATGGGACCGATCCGAATGAGTTTAGGTCTAGGACCGAACCGAACCGTTTGAATAGTAACAGTACGGGTACGGGTTCGGCCAAATATTGGACCGGACCGCGCCCACCCCTAAATTTTTGGGTCATATTCGACTCTGCACCCCGTTTTGTAAAAGCTTTGACTTTGCACCCCATCATATAACATTTTGTGTATAAAAATTCCTGAATGGGATGCAAACTCAAAGGATTATTAAGTGAAATGGGGTGCAAATTCAAAGTTTTTTGAAAACGGGGTGCAAAGACCAATATCATCCAAAAAGTGGGGTGTAAAGTCAAATTCTCCCTATAAAAACTCCTCTAAACTCAAGTTTATGGCAATAGTGAACAAAGTCAGTACTATATGCTTATATATTAAATACTAGTTTAGCAATGCGCGATGCGCGTATGTGTAAATGTCCAAGACCATTGTAGGCATATTAATTGATGAGGCTAGGTTGAATGAATATGTGAGTATTATGAGTACACTCTGTGTATACATTATTTGTTAGCAATTGATAAAGAAACTTAATGAATAAAATATTTGTAGCCTGAATTGTATGTAGGAAATAAAGCAACCAAGATGATTATAATAACCATAATAATAGGATAAGATTAATTGAAGTTTGAACAAAAAGAAGACAAATATCAAAAGTATTTGAGGCAAAATTTCCTGATTTTTATTTTATTTAGTTCATTAGGTTAGAACATCCAAATATTTGTATTGTTAATTTGATATTTGCTTGAGCCACATGTGGATATATCAACTGGGTGGATTTGTGTATTATTTGATCTGATAAAACAAACATAGCAAAAATGACTACTTTTTTAAGTTTTACCCATCCTAAGACGTTGTATATAGGGCAACGTATGTTAAAGAGCACTTTAAGAAAGCAATTAGACACTACAAAAGACAAACCAAGTCATGTATTGTACGTTAAATAACTCATACTGTGATAATACCTTATCAGTTTCTAACTCTATATTACAAGCCACTTTAGTGATGCCTCATATAATTACTTAAGAGGTATAGCTACCATTTTCAGTCTGTAAATCATTAAAACCTAAGAATATAGTATATTACGGGGTATTAATTTCAGAATCTACAAGGACAAGAGTAATTAATCTGTTTCTGACTTATTGTGAGTTACTTTAAAGACGTCCATTATAATTACTTGGGAAATGTTTTTATTTTGTTTTTTTTATTTATTTATTTCACAATTCCCATGAACTTTTGAGAAAATCTTATATTGATATACCTGAAAGTAAAAAATGGCCTCTTGATGGAATGCACATCATCTTGATTTCTCCCTGGAATGGGGTCTTCAATGGATGCACCTTGATCTCATAAAGTTTTGGCCATGGCTTACGGGGCACTACAATTTCGTCTTCAATGGATGCACCTTGATCTCATTCAAAAAGCCTTAACTGTATATTTTGTTTGCAATTAAGCAGGACGTGGTGTCGTGGTTTAAGAAAGCACCTTAGAAATCAGATGCACTTGCCCAGCGAGAAAGGCCATGACCCTCAAAATAGAAAAATAAGAGAATGAAGCAAAACATGAGGAGGCTACTAAAGTTAATTAAGTATTGTATACTGTAATTAACCTACTTGATCAAAATAAAATATGTTTCCTTCATAAAAATCATGTATGAATTAGAATCTGCCAAAAGATAGCAATAGCTACAGACAACTAACTGTCAATTCGTAGGGGTGTTAGTAAAGAGAGAGAGGATTAAATCCTAAAAGGGCATCTATCTTGGCAATGGACAGAATCTTAGGAGTGTTAAAAATGTATAGAGGAACCAGATTCTACCGCACACACAGACACTCAACATTCTATATCACACTTGGTCATACCTGCAACTTTTCCTCTTCCCACCTCATGAGCATGTACTAAACCGGGATGGACAAGAATTAGATTGCTGACTCAGAAGAAGTTAAAAGAATGAAGAGGAAGATCAATTAGAGTCACATTAAATATGGGAATTGATTGGGATCATAATTAGTATCATCAGTTACGAAAGAAATTAATAACACAGAAGCTTAATAGGAACGGAGAAAATAGAAGATAAGCCACGCCAAACAGAGAATACAAGGAGCTTGAACTGTCGAAGTTGAAAAACGGCATCGAATGAAAGATGCTGACGATATGAGACGGTATCAAACGGAAAGACATGCATATTAATAAAAAGTACAAATGGTAGAGCTTAATGTGCAACTCAATTAAACAATGGGATTACACCAACATTTTTTCCCTACCTAAATTGCCCTAATCCTCATTGGGGATTATAAGATTGTAGATAAAAAAGATCAATCTAATTTATCTATGTAGATGTGCTTGTGAGAATGGATTATTTGTATAGACATTTTTAGTAGAAATTATTATTGTAGAACTACTAAAAGTACGCATTATTGGTATGAATAACTTTAGTGATAACGATAAAGTTCTAATTTACACTGCAGTTATGGTGATATGCTTCTAGTAACTTTAGGTTATATTTTGCGCTAACACTTTTCTTCAAGCAATATTTAAAGATTTTTATTTTACTTAACATTGTAATGATCATATTTTTGTTTTGAAACGGGTGAGGTGCTATATTATTTACAGAGTACTCCCCTGTTCTTTTTTATTAATCATTCTTTCCTTTTTGGAACGTTTTTTTTATTTGTCCTCCTTTCCATTTAAGGAAAGTTCTTACTCTAAATATACCTTTATACCCCAACTTTTATTACCATTACCCCTTTCTCTTTCCTACTTTTTCATTTACCCACTACTCATTACACCTTTTACACTACCCCTACTACTTTCCTCTTAAAAACCGTGTCAAAACCTAGGAGGACTAATATTAAAGAACAGAGGTAGTATTATTTAGAAAAGAAAAATAATTTAAATAGCCCATACTTTAACGGGTGTCCTAAACTTGTATACATAATACGAGTATATATCATGAGCTTTATATAAAAAATTACTTTTGCACCACGATTGTATATTTTTACAAATAAAATTTTATTTGAATACTTACAGAATTTAAAATTCTCTAATCTTTGTTAGAATGCAGTTAACATTCTGAAATTTCATTTGTTAGTTAAAAAATATTACACCCTATATAGTTTAATTTATAATGCATCTTTATAAATGTTTTGTGTATTTTGAATTATAACGTACTTAAAACCATAAATTTGCATTTGTGAAAAATAATGATCATTTGATTAATATAATAATGATCTTAAAAATTTGAGATTATTTGTATATAATATTTGTGCAACTTTGGAGTATTTATCTCATACTCATCATATCCAAAACCATTGACACTATTCATGTCATCATATCCTCAACATAGTTGAGGTTCACAGCCTTCTATTTTTGCCGACAAATGACCACTTAGATCTGTATCAGACTTCTAGGCGATCATCAAACAGCAGATTCCGAACACTCTGGCCTAGCTACACATCTTCCACAGTTCCACTTATCTATTCCTGGCCTATACACTAGATAGGGACTTGCTCGGTTGCTCCTATAGGCCGTAGAAACGAGACGGCCGGAGAAACTTATCTGGTGATTTCATTCACCCATTCCTGCTACCCCAGAATTCTTCGGTTTCTATTTCGTGTTTGTGTTCTATGAGGCCCATGAGGGCATAAAACATACTCTGTGTCTATTTTCCATACGTTTGGTTTCATTGTTTCTTGTATCAAACACCCCCTTCTCAATTCGAAAGTGCGCAGAGATACGAAATGTTTTCATGGAAAATAGTGATTAAATGTTTTCTATTTTAATTCCATGTGATTCCAGTTTTGGTTTTCCCGTGTTCTACCTTTTCATTTGTGATTGTATTAATAGTCTTTCTTTGTTTTGATGTTCTTTTGAGTGAATGCAGGGGCAGGAACAGATGGAGTACATGGAATGGGATGCTGATGGGGGAGGAGATAATGTTGTCAACGAGCTTGGTGGAGAAGACTATAATTCTGATCATGACGATGAAGACCTTGTTAATCAGGATTTCTATGATATGGTTACTGATGCCCACCTCTTTGTTGTTTTTTCTAGCCCTCAATATAAAGCTACTTCTTTTATTGACCTATATTGAAAATGCAATCCTTTCTTAATGCCAGTGCTATGCTTCCATGGTTTTGAAACTACTGAATCCAGCATTTCTACAACTTGTGCATATTTGCACAATTGTGGTTCATGTTAGTGTTGACTGAAAGTTTATTTTTATTTTGGACTGCTAAGTTTCAGTGAAGTGTATTTATAATATGCATCCAACTATGGTGTTTCCCTTGGATTTGTGAAGTACTAAAGTTGACCTGTTGTAATTGTTTTCTGCGTGTACTGTGTTTTGACTTATTACAAGTTTTTCTTATCTACAATCTCGTAATATACATGAGTGTTAATGAGTACTCGGTTTGACTAGCTTCCCAGAGCATCGGATACGTCTGCTGCAGAAGCTAGGAAGGGGAAAGATGTACAAGGTATTCCTTGGGACATGTTGAATATTACTCGACAAAGCATAAGATTAACCAGGCTTGAACAGTACAAGAATTATGAGAACATACCCTTGTCTGGTGAATCTGTGGATAAGGTATACACTTACTTTTTTTCATTTTATATAATCATATGCTATTGTGCGTTTGTTTTACCAGTATAGTGAACCAGACTCATTTTCTTTACTGATCAATTGCAATGGGTGATAAGGAATGGAAACTAAAGGCGAAGGGTGCAAACTACTATGACTTTTTCTATAATACAAGAAGAGTGAAGCCTACAATTCTCCATTTTCAGGTATATTTCACACATATTCTGCATTAGCTTATAGCTGTTTTTCATTAAGTTCCGTCGTGCAGTGCATTTCTTGTTATCTGCGAGATTTGGTGTATGATGGTTCCTCCCTGTTTGCTTGCCTTTGACATTTGGTCCACTTTTATTCACTGAAGAGACATCATCTTTAAGGCATTGTTTAGATTTTGATATTACTTGACTTTCTATGAGCTCCAATAACTTTTTACCCTGCACCACTTTGCTCTTTTACAATTTGACACGCCGAGCTTTATGCATAACTTTTATGATTTGACACATCCACCTTTATGCATAACTTTTACAATATAACCACCTTGTAGTGGTTTATATTGGAGCGGAGGAAGTACATTCTATCTGATGGGTTCCATTTTTTCTTGCTCTATACATTTGATATTGCTTGTTTAAGAGTTATGTGACCTCTGTTCAAAACTTACAACTCTATTGGCCTAAAACGATAGCACTTCATGCAATTTGTTTGCAGCTTAGAAACTTGGTGTGGGCCACCTCAAAGCATGACATATATCTGGTGTCTGACTGCTCACTCATGCACTGGTCATCGCTATCCCACAACTTGTCAGAGGTTCTCAACTTCTCTGGACATGTAGTCCCAGCAGAGGTACTTGAGAAGTTCATGGGTCTTCCACTTTTCTGTTGAAATTGTTAGGCCCCCCAGACCAATTGTTACTGCTTAGTGTACATCAATTTCTCTTCCTTGGACGTGCAGAAACATGCAGGGAGCTTGTTGGAAGGCTTATCACAGACCCAGGTCAGTACATTGGCGGTGAGGGAGCGTTTTGTAGTTGCAGGAGGCTTCCAAGGAGAACTTATTTGTAAGGTGATTACACATTGACTTTCTTGTCTTTAGTAGTACTTTTCAATGTTCCCCCCCTTTCCTTTGACAACTCCGAAGAGCGTATGCAGCTTGCCATTGATAGATTATTAGTCTTTGCAAAAACTTAAAAAAAGTGCTTTTCAATATTTGTCTTAAAAAATCTGAAATGAGTGTTTTCAAGATTGTTTCCGCTTAAAAGCTAAAAGCTGGATTCATGTGGATGGGTGCTCTTAACTGCTTTCCACTTTTTTCTATTACACAAAAGCACTTTTTTACCAAACACTACCAACTTTTTTGTTTTCAAAACAATTTTTTGTTAACACTACTAACTTTTACTACTAAGCACTTTCTCAAAAATCATTTAAAAAAATAACTTTTTAAAGTAGAACCAATCTTAAACACCCCCTATGTGCTGAATGAATTAATTAACAGTCTCAACTTAAAATTTTTCAATCAAAATGGACCTGCATCAAAGTATATTTTGACAAAACACTCTTTGTATGGTAATACTTGAAACACTAAGCTATACACACTGTATTAATCATTTCTTTCAATTAGTAATATCTATGTAACATTGGTGATTGCATAAAAAATTTGACATAATGCTATTTGTTTTTATTGAATTGTTTCCCCCATCTAATATAATACGCAACGACCACCACGACCACTTCAATTATTTGATGGTGGCTACTGTTAAGGGCTATTCTAACATATAGGGCATGGTCATGCGGTATATTTATAAATATATAAAATGTAAAGACTTGTATGTAAATACCTCAAATGTACAACATAATTTTATATGCAGTTAAAACTACAATATAAATCAATTATAACACTAATTATTCTCTAAAAATAACTACTAACTTATAGTATATAAAAAATAAAAATGCTTATTACTTTATCCATTCCTAATTTGGGTTTTCATTTTCTGATTTTCTTATAGAATTTTCATTAATACCGTAAAAGTGTGTGGTTGAGATTTATTTGGAAAGAAGAGGAAAAATTAAGACCCACACATTATTTTCTTAAAAGAAAACAAGCAGGTAATTTTGAGACAAATGAAAGATGAAGGTGACAAACTAATTTGGGGACAAAGAATGATACTCCCTCCGTCCCATTCTAAGGTTCCCACTTTTTTTTGGACATCCCATATAATGGTTCCCATTTCTATTTTAGGAAGCAATTAACACTCCTAAATAACAATTTAATCATCAAATATTAAAAATATTACATCTAGAACATCATAGTTATCATCAATGTCCTCATTATATTATATACCCATCATAATTATTTCTCAAAATATACTCGGAAATATTATTTAATTATCATCTAAATAACCGTATCATTTTACAATGGGAACCTTTAAGCGGGACGGAGGTAGTAGTAAGCTAGTTCATAATTACTCGTGAGAGCTGGGGTTGGGTGGAGGGAAATTCTTATGTATCTTGTCTGGGCAGTTGATTTGGCAGTAGACGACTGGACAAGGATGGCACAATTGGTGATAATGTGTAATGGGTATGGGTGGTTGCGTGGGTATCATAGTTTGCTGAATAGCGAATGATGAAAGGCGCACGAGGCTGTATGTGACAGAGATACACGTCGGTTTCAGAAGTGTGTGGGTGTTGTTTGACTTATAAGTTATATGAAATGAATGAACAGATTAAGATCAACGATTCAAAAGATTAAAGAGTGAGCCACAACTTTTTTGGCAAACTTTTAATCAGATAATCAAGTCCTTTGAAATTTTAGAAACATCTTTGTTATATGACACGTGCGGTTAATTTTAGAGAAATTGTTAGACAGCTCTATCACCTAAACGCATCCCCTTAGACGTGTCCATGCATCATAGGCTATAAGGCTACGAGCCTACAACCAATGAAATAGCATGATATGTTCCAAATCAGCAGCAACAGCTACACCTAGCGGTTGAGGCAGTGGTGGAGCTAAGTACTACAGGGTGCACTGTCATCATTAGGGAAGTGAAGCAGGAAGCCTGGCAGAAATGGTTGAGAAGAAGGTGATGGAAGCCATGATGATCTGTGGAGCCTGAGGATTGAATGAGAATGGCTCGGCATTACTAAAATTCTTTGTAGTTTGGTGGTGTTTTAAATATTAATGTGGATTTGCTTTTGAATGGGCGGCGTTTAGATCAAATCTAACCTTCTAAACACCCATATAGTGAATTTGATTCAAATCCAGAATTTCAAATGAAATCCTGGTATACGAAAGGACCATAAAGTAATCGGTTACTCTTGTTGAACAGTGAAATGGTGATGTGTGTTGTAGGAAAGGGTATTATCATCTCTCTCGTTGCACATCCTATCTCAATAATCAAAGTACAAATATTACACATTCATGTAAGGGTGATGGTTATGACTTTTATTTGGTTATAATTTTTATGTGATGATATTTTTGTGTTATGATGAGGGAATAGGGACTATTCATGTTAGACGACCCGAAACTCTTTTAGGATTAAGGCTTGGCTGTTGTTGATGAGGGATTAAGGACTATTATGGTTTATGACTATTTTTGTATCGTTGCCTTAAATGTGCATTAGATTACATATACTTGTTTTTTTCTTTTCAGTAATGTGTCGGTTATGTGAGAGAGTAACCCTTCACTCAGTTCTTTAGCTTTAAAGCAAGTTTTGCCTTGTTTCTTTTGTGCTCTTTTTTATTAGAATTATTTGCCTTCTGATGGGAAAAATAAATAAATCTGGTAGCTTATGTTCTGTGAGATTGCCAGATTGGCTCTTATATTTATTTCAAGTTCATTTCTATGGCTTGTGATGTTTGATTATCCCCTAAATGTCATATAAAATCAACGTGGTCTTCTTGTTTACTAGTTCTAATAGTAATGCATTTCTACTGCACAGCATTTAGATAAATCAGGGGTTAGCTTCTGCACAAGGACAACGTATGAGGAAAATGCAATTACAAATGCGGTTGAGATTTATGACACTGCAAGGTAGGTTCTCTTGCATGTTTGACTCGGTTCATTCCGGATTGATACGATGAGAGCCACTGTAGATGCAAATTAATGTGTTAAGTTTTGTACAGTGGCCAGCTTCATTTCATGGCATCAAACAATGATGGCGGTGTACGAGAATATGACATGGAGAGGTTTCAGAAAATGAAGCATTTTCGTTTTCCTTGGCCAGTAAATGTCAGTTCCTCTCAAACTATATGTTATTTTGTGTTAATTGTATGGAGTAGGAATAAGTCTAGTGTTTCTATAGATTTTGTCGGTTCATAGTTATAGAAATACTAAGGAATAGTTTCTTGGTATTTTCTGTATAATATTGCTAAAATATACTCCACAACTCATAGACAAACATATGACTCCATAGTCACTAGTCACTGCAAATGTAATATACTATCATCATTGTATATTAAATGTCACATTTTTGTGTATTATGTTTATTTTAGTCATATATTTGCCACTATATCTTGCTTTCCTAATTGTGGTTATGAGTTGAGTTTGCACATGCTACAGAGATTAGAAGATGCTACTTTGCAAATAGGTATTAATTAAGTAACTCTTTCCTCTCATCGCTATAGGTGTTCTGTTTTCTGATATGTTGGTGCAGCATACATCAATCAGCCCGGATAGGAAGCTTGTTACCGTGGTTGGGGACAATTTGGAAGGCTTACTTATTGATGCCGTAAATGGAAAGGTATCTGAAATACAAATTCTTGTATAGGATTACCATATATGATACTCCCTCCGTCCCAGAATTAACTTCGGTTTTGACTGGGCACGGGGATTAAGATAGTGGGAAATGTGTGGTGGAGAGTTGTGCAGAGGAGAGAGAAATGTGTTAGAATGGTTGTGAACCACAAATCCTTTGCCAAAAAGGGAAAGAGGAGATAAATTTGGGACGGACCGAAAAGGAAAGAATGAAGATAATTTCTGGACGGAGGGAGTATGATATTGTGGTGTAATAATAATTTGAAGATGACTGACACCTTTGTGTAAACAGACGGTTGCATCAATCATTGGTCATCGAGACTACTCGTTTGCTTCTGCATGGCACCCAGATGGGCGCACCTTTGCAACAGGTAATCAGGACAAAACAAGCAGAGTATGGGATGTGAGGAACCTGAAGTTGCCTGTTGCAGTTCTTAAAGGAAACATAGGTTCAGTTCGATCACTCCGCTTCTCGGCGGATGGGGAGTTCCTGGTTGTCGCAGAGCCTGCAGATTTTGTCCACATCTACAGCACAAAGGTGAACTATGAGAAACGCCAAGAGATTGATATATTTGGTGAGATCCCCGGTGTGGCTCTGAGTCCCGATGATGAGTCACTGTACATTGGAGTTTGGGACAGGACGTATGCAAGCTTGCTCCAATACAACAGAAGGCAGTCCTACTACACATATCTCGACTCGTTCATCTGACTGCTGGATGCCTTAATTTTAGGATACATTTCATACTCTTTCTTACAGTACAGTCACAACTTTATAATCTTGTTGGGTAAAATGTAGTAAAGCAGTATAGTATTTCTCTTTGTCCTCCATGGGGATACCTTGTGCCTTGTGGCTTGTACATGATTTGGTAAGTTATCTTTCCAATGTTGGGGATTTTTTTTTGAAGGGATTCCATGCCTCCAAGGCTCCAATATTGGGTTTCAGTCGAAGAGTACCTTTGATCAGTTACTGCTGGTTTTACCTCGTATTTCTATTCTTTTCTTTAAAAAACAGCACACGAAATTATTCAAAATGGTCGTTTGGTAGATTTCTGAAATTTTTTTGATTCCAACTGGGGCGTAGCTCACCTGGTAGGAAAAGTGTGCCATAAAGGAGAAGTTCCGCGTTTAACTTCAAGCACAGACTTGATATGAAAACTTCACTCTCTTTCCATCAACATTAGGTCTGGACTCGGGCCGGGTGGCCCGACCCGGAACCGGCCCGAACCGGCACTGTTCCTGCCGACCTGGACCGGTGGCCCGGTCAGTGACCGGTTCGGGTAAGCCCGACCCGCTGGGGTTCCGGTCCGGGCTCGGGCCCCTCAAAATGTGAACCGGACCGGCCGGTTCGGACCCGGTCCGGGCCTTTTTTTTTTTTTTTTTGAATTTTGTTAGTTTTTGGGTTGGGTTGGGTATTTTGGGTCATTTGAGATGGTTTGGGGGGGGGGGGGGGTTAGGGGTTAATTAGGAAAAGGCAAAAAAAAAAAAATGAACCGAGGCCCGGCCCGGACCCGGGGGTTACCCGAGCCGGTTCCGGGCCTCCCCTTTCCTGAACCGAGGCCCGGCCGGGCCCAGGTCCGAACCGGCCCGAGTCCAGGCCTGATCAATATGTGATCAGAACTCAACTTACCTCCTCTAAGATAACTGTCTGGTTGGTTTTGAGACCCTTGGGTATGAGGTGTCATCGTTTTAAAAAAAATGTAATTCCAAAACCACTGCTGATTCATATCTACTTACGTAGGAAGTGGGTTGGATAAGTCAATGGCAAAAATAAGACTAGCAAGAAAATGATACTCCTCCGTCCCACTAACAATGGGACAAGACGGAGTGACACGCAAATCTATAAAAAATGGTTTATGTGGTTGATGTTGAATTGATAAAGCAAAAATGAAGTAAGAATGATTAAGAGTAGACTTTACCAAATAAGGTATGTGACCATCTTAGTGGAACAGACTGAAATGGTAAAATAAGACAATTTTAGCGGGACAGAGGTAGTATGAAAATTTATATGTGACGTCTAGTCATTTCAACAAATATGTCATGGATATAGAATGAAATTTGGACTACATTTTCAACAACTAACACCACAAATCTCTTATTATCAAACAAAATTTCAATCAATCAATGTTATAACGTGTATAATATACATAAAATCGAAAAAAATAAATAGACAATTTTTCAAAAAGCACATGGAAAGTTGGAATAGATTGTTACCTCAATGACAATGGTTTTGAGAAGAAAGGTCATCATAGAGAGAGCATTTGTTCATATTATTGTGTAAGATAGCTAAATTGGAAGATGAGTTGAAAATGATGGAGAAATTAGAGATCAAAGAGAGATGATGAAGAGGGACCATGGAGGAGTGGCGTACAAAGAGGAGGATAAGATGGTAAATGGATACAAAAAAAAATTGATGTGTGTAAAGTGATAAAAAAGACTTTATACCCTATACACAAATTGTCTATGTGTACACAAATCATTTTTTAGAAACTTTACATATCACTAACTAATCTCGGTTATCTCGCGCACTAACAATTTTTAGGTTGCCGCTTTATCCATCTTACCTCGACAGAAAGCTAATTTATTGTCTATGTTCTTTCTCCACATCCAAGATGCTTTAGAACTAGGTTTTTCTCTACAATTATATACTCCGTAGTAGACAATTTTTATAAACAAGCATTTTAGAATGAATGCTTTTATCAAATAATAATATGCAAAAAATCAAATAATATAAAAACAAAAAAAATCATAAAAGGATATTCAAAGAAACGAGCTAATGAAAATAGTTTTTTTAAGGATATATCAAGCTCACATGCGTCAAATTCAAAAACTAATTTTTGTCACACACGATGATGGAATATCTCATAAAGGAAATTGTTCGTTGGATTAAAACTTGACTTGCTTGCTTCTAAGGACACGATTTCTTATAAAGTATGTAAGATTTATAAGAAAACTAACACCTCAGGTAGTTCTGACGGGAAGCCCCATTCGAACTTGCCTATCAGAAATAATATCTCATCAAGCTAGTTTAAGACCATCAAAATTCAGCTTAAAATTTACGCTTTTAGTAATTTATTTATTTATTTAACTGGTTTTCGGATTGAACTTTAAGTTGAAATTTAGTGAGAATAAACTAGACTTGATGAAAAACTTGCTCACAAAATTCCATAAAAAATTTCACCGTAATTTTTTTTTATCGGCAAGTTTGGATGGGGCTTCTCGTCAGAACTATCTGAAATGTATCGAACAAAATAGTTGTATCAACTGTAATAGCTTTAGCATTAGGGTTTAGAGTTTATCAAATTTTACTTAGACCATTTGTAGTGGTGGAGAGGCTAAATTGTTAAAAATGGACTCCATCCATATGAAAACAATGTTTAAACTCTTACTTTCTTGCATTTCGGTACTGTCAATAAAATATACTCAACATATTTTTTTTACATATCAATCTAGTAAAAGACTATTATAAGTAATGTTTACCTTTTTTCCTAAATAATTATCAATTAAAAAAATACAAATTTTGATGTAAAAATAAATACATTTCATAAATTTTTTAACGTTTTTAGGTGAACAAAAAATGAACTCAGTTCACGTAAAATTCAATTGTGAAATATTCAGTTATTTGTGAAGGCCTCCATGAATTAAAAATTGGTGTTTAGTGTTTTCTTGGGTTCAAGAAAACTTCAACAGTTAAAACTAAAAAAAAAATCATTTTATATATTACATATTGGTGTCATATGAAAGATCATGAAAATTCATGAATTTTGATATATTTTTCAAAAATTTGAAATACAAATAAAAAAATTATATGAGTTTTAAGAAATTTGAGGTTTAATGACGCACGGACGACGCCATCATTTAGAAGTCAATCTACCCTCAATTAATAACATTCTTGACCCCCTTACCCACTTTTAATACTTCTCTTAATCCTCCACTATACACATTTAGGAGTCCAAAAGTTCCATTTTTAACTTTTTTGACTCCTAAAACCCCTCCACTACAAATGGCCTTAGAGATTAGCGTTTACAAATGGCCTTAGAGATTAGCGTTCAAGATTTACCAAATCCCAATTGTCCGATCAAGACCTAAATTTTTAGGAATCGCGATGACCTTGCAATAAAGGGTGTTTATGTAATTATGTACTCCGTATTGTTTAGTTCTATTTTTAATTATAATTCTATTTAGAAAAAATTGAAAATGATAATCTCAACTATTGCTGATCCATCATTAATAATCTCAATTATTGATTATTTCTGGGTAATCCCAACTATAGGAACCGTTTTACAAAAATGGTCTCTAACCTGTCACAACCTGGTATAGCATGTCATTTTTAAATGTGAACTATGTGTAAGCTCTAAATGATCTGAACTATAGTTGATCTTTTTTTATTAATCTCAACTATCAATTTTTAATTTTCAGAAGATATAGAAATATTTTTATAAATTTTCAAACTAAATATTTTTAAGCATGAAAAATTAATTACAAATATTCTACAAATGTACAGAAGTTAAATAAAAAATTCAGTCATTATTTTTTTATTTTCACTAAAATTTCATTTTTCCTTTTTCCAATTTGTTTTTCACAGTAATGTTACCAATTTACGATTTAGTATTATTTTCCTTTATTCAAATTTACATTTTCTATTTTCAAAAAGTACACTGTGATTTAATTTTTTGCAATTCAGATAATTATTCTAGTTTAATCTAAAAATCTAATTTTTTTATTTATTCCGTTTTAGTATTTTTAATTTCTAACAGTGTAAAAATGTGAATATCTTGAAATGACGATAAAAAATTGTTTACTAAAAGTCCACATTTTTGCTACCTACCAAAATAGTTGGGATTATTATTACCGTTTTGATACACTTTTTCTACATGTTTAAAATTTCCAATATATCACTTAAAATTATAATATTAATACATTTTCATTAAATATAGTGAAAATCTCCAAAACCTGTACCCCAAATCTCTGAAATTTAATGACAAACTATATAATATAATTTATAGAATATAATAATATAAAATAAAGAAAATAGAAGGAAACTAGAAATACTAAAATGGAAAAATAGAACATTTAGGTTTTCTGAATTAAGATAACGTAAAATAAATAACATCTTAATCGTTATTTACTTTTTGAAAATAGAAAATGTAATTTTTAATAAAGGAAAATAATACAAAATCATAAATTGGTAATACAACCAGGAAAAACTAGATAAAAGGAAAAAACAATTAGTGGAAATAAATCAAAAAATGACGAAAGATATTTTATTTAATTTCGGTACATTTTTATAGTTGTTGTAATTGTTTATACATGTTTAAAAATATTTACTTTGGAAATTTATAAAAATTAAGAGTGGATAGTTGGGATTAATAAAAAAAGGTCTACTATAATTGAGATTATTTAAAGGTTACACATAGTTTATATTTAAAAATGATCTATTATACTAGGTTGTAACACGTTAGAAACCATTTTTGAAAAATGGTGTTGGGACAAAACAAAAATAATCAATAATTGAGATTATTAATAATGAACCTTTAATAATTGTAATTATTATTTTCAATTTTTACCAAATGGGCCGGCCTAAATGCGCAACTTTAAAAAGTTGGCTGTCTTCAACAGTACACCGTTTACTGTTTACAGAGCTTAGACGCCTCTTCGACCTCTAGGGCTTCTTCACCTTTGATCCCCGCGCAGAGAAAGCCTCCTCCACTCAATCCCCTCTCTGCCTCCCTTGCATTCATGGCGAACGGTATGTACATCTCGTTTTTATCTACGGCTGTGTATTATTGTACGTGCACTGCTTTGTGGAGGCGACTAACGGAGCTGTTTTGGTGCAGCACCGGGACGGTCGTTTTTACAGGTTGCGGCTACGGAAGAGGCTGCCGTGCCACCTCTCAGAGTCGTTCAGATTGAGGGACTGGTGATAATCCTTTCTCTTTTCCTTTCGTGGTTGAAACACACGCACGCACGCACACATGCTACCGTTTGATTCTGCATTATTCGGAAGTTAGACGTCGCAAAACGCATTAATCTAAAACGGGTTTGAGACGTAGTTTCTTGCTCTCTATTTTGTGATCTGTGGATCGATTTATAGAGCATGTTAAGAAATTGTCTTGGTTATTCTTTGGGTGGACCAAATTAGAGTTGATGATATGGAAGCTGGAACAATAGACAGTTGTTTAGTGCTGTTTACTTATTCATCTTAGCTGCATACTTTCCTCTCTAAGACCCATTTGGCTAACCACTTAGCCATAAGTTGATGATTGTCTTAACATATATAACAACAACCACAACATCCAAGCCTTAGTCCAAAACGTTTGGGGCTTTGAGGCACTGAAACTCTCCACGGCTCATGTGTCCCTGTTTCGGAAACTAGAGGTGTGCCATAAACTCTTAAACTTCAAATTCTCACTTTGGGACCATTTCTGTAACTAAGAATAATTGGGAAACCCGTTTCCCTAAATAAATAGCTTCTTATGGTATACTAGTTATCTATGGCCAATGCCATCCAGCCTATAACTTTCAGCTTGAATGATTACTCGAGAACAGGTAATTTTGAAGATAATTAAGCATTGCAAGGAATTTTCACCAGCTTTAGTCACTGGACAACTTCTTGGGTTGGACGTGGGAAGCGTCTTGGAAGTTACCAACTGTTTCCCCTTCCCGGTGTGTTTTATGGCTTTGTCCTGTTTTTTGTATAATACCATAACAGCTGTTTTTTTACCAAGTCAACATATGCCTTAGTATTCAAATTCAAATGAATGATAGATTCGGGAGGAAGATGAAGAGATAGAGGCTGAGGGTGCTAATTATCAACTTGAAATGATGAGATGCCTGAGAGAGGTTAATGTTGACAACAACACTGTTGGATGGTAAGGGCATTGTTCCAATGAAGTTTAGTCACTTTAGTGGTACCAATCAACTTTATTCTGCTAAACTTTCCAAATGTGTATACCTCTACTTATAGACATGCTTTACTCCAACAAGTAATTTATGAATAATGCTATTATGATGTGTATATATTTCTTCTAGGTACCAATCGACTTTATTTGGTTCATATCAGACAGTTGAACTTATTGAGACCTTCATGAACTACCAGGTTTTAATTCTCCCAATTGTAGTTTTAAGGGTTATGGTTTCTTTCGTTCCCCTTTTCAGGGTGTATCGAGATAGTTGAAATTAATCTGTTTGTTGTTTGTGCAGGAAAATATAAGACGGTGTGTATGCATTATATATGATCCATCGAGATCCAACCAAGGTGTTCTGGCTCTGAAGGCCTTGAAGCTTTCTGACTCATTCATGGAGCTGTACCGGAATAATAATTTCACTGGGGAGAAGTATGTCCCGCATGCTATCTTTTGTTTTATCCTTCACCCTTCTTGCATTTTGGTTGAGCCAATTGATGATGTTATGTGTTAGCTTACAACATTTCTCGTTTATTGTTTTCGTTTTAGGTTGAGAGAGATGAATCTTTCGTGGGTAGATATCTTCGAGGAGATACCTGTATGCTTTTCCTTTTACACCTCTAGTTGTTTTTCCCCTTATTTTTTGTTGAAAGCATCATGCTATGATGGGATCTTTTCTTGTAGCTATTCATTAGTCATCACCTGTTCTATCATTGACTAAAAGTACTCTTTAATTTAAAATGTTGTTATATATCCAAATTGTAGATATTCCTTTTTGAGAAAACACCTCATCCTATAATATTCTTTTGTATTTGTATTTTTTCCGTCTTTTTTGTATCAAATGGATTTTGCTAGCTCATTCAGTACAGTTTGGTGCATGGTAATTCAAGTCTACTTCAAGAAATGTCTTTGCCTTGTTACTCTATTTTTACCATTCTTACTTTTATGTACTGAACATTTGTATTAGTTCAGATATACTAATGCGCTATACTTAGCATAACATGTACCTGTTTTGATACTGAAAAATCTTTCTAATGCAACAGATAAAAGTTTCAAATTCTGCCCTCATAAGTGCCTTCATGACCGAATTGGAGCCAGATACACCTGTTACCCAGGTAAACTAAACATTTGTCATGCCCAGTTCTCACTGGCCTTACCTATCGTAGCAAATGGTCACATGCAACTTTGTAACTTGTTCCAGAGTGATTATGATCGCCTAAATTTGTCAACTAATCCATATCTGGAGAGAAATGTGGAATTTATGATTGAATGTATGGATGACTTGTCAAAGCAGCAGCAGGAGGTAAGTCACTATTTTTTGGGACACACCCACTTGGGACTACTGTGTTGCTCAGCCATCACCTGACAAGATTGATTTTACATTTGCAGTTCCATAACTACTATAGGAACCTTTCACGCCAACAATCTCAGCAGCAAGCTTGGCTTCAAAAGAGGAGGTATTTTGTTTTCTTTTTCAAACTACTTATGAAGTATGGCTATTTTAGTTAGTGTTTTTATCAGCATAGCTATATAAGCTTTTGGATGGTAAGTTTGAAGCACATATATATCTGTGGATATCAAATAGCCCTTTTTTTAATTCCCAAATTTTCTGGAGAGTATCTATATGCATGCATGTATGTATAAGCGTGTGTGTTTAAATGCAAGTATATAACTGTTTATGTATATATCTTTCTTTTAATATGTGTGTCTGTTCAGTTAGTGTTAGCTAATATAGACAGCGTTCAATGCCTCATTTTTTTATGGAGAGGTGGAGTATCAAAACCTGGCCTTTTAATAGTTTTTTTATGAATGCGCGTCACTTTGTGTTTTTATCATAGTATTCTGGTATGTTGTTTTCAGGGCGGAGAACATGGCACGTAAAGCTGCTGGAGAAGAACCACTACCTGAGGAGGATCCTTCTAATCCCTTCTTTAAGCCAATTCCCGAGCCTTCTCGATTAGATAGCTTTCTCATCACTAATCAGATTTCAAACTATTGCAATCAAATTAATGGGTATGTTTCCTTTCTGAGAACAATCTGCATTTATCTTTATCTGAAATGGACATCCAATTGCCTGTAAGTCTGCCTGTGCTTTTCAAAGTGCTTGTACATTTGCTGATTACCAGTATTCTGACCATTAACTAAGACCATTGATTTGAACTACGTGTGTATTAAAACGCGGGGACACTTGGAATTTCCAGATTAAGAAAAGCTGAAGTCATTGGGTGTAATTTAGTAATAGCTTTTTAGATTTGCTATATCTAAAAATATATTAAAGCAAAACTTATAATTAAATATTGATTTGCTTTTTAAATATACCTAAACATTACAAAAATATATTGAATCTTTAAATTGGGTTCTGTTTTAATATGGCTCGGAAGAAACATTACAAAACTTAAATTGAATTGCATTGGCTGGTTCTCCGCTATACACGTAGTATGTGGTTTGCATATGGACTCTTGAGATGAAAACAAGGTTGGATATAGATCGTCAGAAGATTTCATGCCAATTTAACCGTTTTACCTGATATATGTTGCAGGGTTGCGGGCCAGAGCTTTAACAGACTCTATTTGATGAAGGCTCTGCATGATAATTAAATACGTAGTATTTCCAGGAAATCCACATCCCGGTTGTTGACTCCTGTATTTCTAGTTCTCATCTCAGTTTTGAAAACGTCATTCTCATTGTCGTGTACTTGTAAGAAGCCAAATGATATTGGACATACATGGAGTGAATGTTTCTTTAATCTCTTATTTATACAATTATATGCCCTCTTGGCGGTAGTAATAAGCAATCTTTCATTTGACCCCGCCCTATTACATGCTTTTAGTCTTCCGATTGAATCTCTTCAATCTAGTTTATTTAGACTCGGAAAATCTTATATGTTTTTGCCTAGTTATGTTCTCGATTTTTCTTGGGAAAAGGGGCAAAAACACCCCTCAAGTTGCCACCCAGGGAGATATATACCCATAAACTTAATTTTTGAGCAAGAAACCAAAAAAGAGAGCGAAAAGGGGAACATTCTAAATTAATTTATCTCTATTGCCAACAAAGGGAAAAGGGTAACATTCTAAATTAATTTATCTCTATTGGCCAAATACACGCCAGAATAGTTTATTGGGTTGAGATCTAGGATACTATTTTCTATTTTATTGGTGCGAGAGGAGGAAAAAATTGGTGCGGACGGTACGTGGCAGCAGGGGTAGGACCGTAGGACTGGAATAAAATTAAAAAGGTCCTTTCGGGAACAAAAAGAGATAAGGTCATATTCTTGCACAGTTACCATGTTTTAGTCCTATATATGTCAATTACTTAAATTTTTATTGCTTCTGAACTGCAAGCTTCATTGACAACAGGTACTATGCATCCATGGATCCCCAAATGGGCCAACACAGTATGTGTCTATGGTATTTTGACTAGTAAACACTAGCCCTATTCTTGCTTTAATAATTTATACTTGAAATGTTTTTATATCTGCCAAATATGTGGCCATCATGAACTCGATATTCTCTGCTCAGCGCTCAATGGTAACTTGGTTTCTCTTTTATTACCTTAAAGCTTAAAGAGATTTTATGGAAGGGTTTGTTCTTCGGTACTCTTGTCCAAATTTGAAGTTCATTGTAGGTTGCACACTTACTCAAGATGTAGGTAGAATATATAATCTCTAATTGGTAGTTAATGAGATAAGAGAGAAAAGTAGAGATAGAGTAGGCAGTGGCAAATAGGAAGCATTTTTGAGGGGGTGCTCCTATGTATGTACACATATTTTAACTAAAAAAAATCTCCCTGTACAGACACATGCCTGCTATATATACGTATCAGGTAAATATTTAATATATCATATTGTTATCGTTTTTTTTCTAACTATTATTTAAAATGTTTAATATTTCAGGTCTATCAAAGTACCAAAAGAGCCTTTTTTGAGTGATGAATTGATGAAGTATTTGAAGTTTGTGAGGAATTGGCCATATAAGTGTGATAATTTTTTCGTAAACTTTAGTGGGGATAAACTTACAAAAGAATGTTAATTTGTGTTGTATTCATTTTGAACATTGGCGATGTATAATTCAATAAATTTGAGATTATGTTTCTGATTTTTGTTGATGAGATACTGAGTTTGTAGAAATGACTTTTTCTTATTCTGTAAAATAGATATATTCTGGTTTAAAACACTAGCTTTATAATTTTAATAGTAGTCCAAAACAAAAAAAATGCCAATTTTTAGAAGTATTTGATGCGGTTCAAAACCGCGGCAATAAGTCACAATTCAATTTTTTTTTTAAATAGCTATTTTATGCAGTTCGGAACCGCATCAATAAGTCATTTTTTAAATAATTATTTGCTGCGGTTCAGAATCGCAACAAATACGTTTTCCTACTATTTGCAGCCCTGCCAATTATTGCGGTTCAAAATCGTACTAAATAGCTAAAAATAACCGCAACAAATAGCTATTTTTCCAGTAGTGCCCATAAAAGAATGCATAAAAAATAGATCACTTTTAAAAAAGATGATATGGCAAAATTTTACAATATGGAAATAATAGCATTGAAGATGCCCTAGACCACTCTTTTGGTACTCTTTATAAAATTCATGTAAAGTTGTGTCATCCAAGTCTCAATTCTGTTGAAAAATAGACATCACCAAACTTGTGGCACCAGAGGTTAGATCACTTGAGTGTGAAGGGACTCACAACTCTTGCAAAGAAGGAAGTCATTTCCATGGGCAAAAGTGTTGCCCTTAGTCCATGCGAGCACGGTTTATTAGGGAAACAACACAGAGTTTCCTTCAGTTCTACCAGGAAAAATCATTCAGAGTTACTCAGTCTTGTCCACTCAGATGTATGTGGACCCATTGAAGAGGAGTCACTTGGAGGAAGCAGATATTTTGTGACATTTATTGATGATGTGTCACGAAAGGTACGTGCTTACTGTTTAGAAAGTAAGAATCAAGTGTTTGATAGTTCCAAATTATTTCATGCCATGGTAGATAGGGAAACATGGAAGAAGTTGAAGTGTCTAGGTTCAGACAATGGATGAGAGTATACTTCCCGGGAATTCTCTGCATATTGTGCCGCATATGGAATCAGACATGAGAAGACGGTTCCACGAACTCCACAACAAAATGGTGTAGCCGAAAGAATGAACTGAACCATTGTGGAGAAAGTTCGTTGCATGTTGAGCATGACTAAACCACCCAAGCCATTCTGAGGTGAAGCTGTGCTGACAACTTGTTATCTTATCAACAGGTCACCTTCTGTTCCTTTAAACTTTGACGTGTCAGAGAAGAAATGGTCAAGAAGAGATATTTCTTACTCTCACTTGAAAGTGTTCAGGTGTAAGACATTTGCACATGTGTCCAAGGAGTTGAGAGAGAAGTTTGATCTCAAGTCAAACCCATGCATCTTCATCGACTATGGAGATGAAGATTTTAGATACCGATTGTGGAATCCCGAAGTGAAGAAAGTTATACGAAGCAAAGACGAAGTCCCTCTATCATCAAACATTCCTCTCATCTGAAGATGAAGCTGAAGGTACTCATGTTCAACGTTCTATGCGAGGCATAGTTCCACAGAGAAGATTCTCCGCATCTGAATGGATACTTGTTGCCAGCGAGGGGGGGGGGGGGGGCAGCGAGCATCACGGGATGAGAGAATTAAATAAAAAGGCGGAGGGGGGTTTGTAGGGATAGATCTTACACATTCTTTCTTGGAAGTTTCCAAAAGACATATAACACCATCTAGGAAGGAGCTATCCAACAAATGAATATGATAAAAAGATATGGAGATAACTAGGAATCTTGGATGCAACTACCTCATGTCTCCCTTACATCTATAAATAGGGAGTCTATTGTTGTTCATAATCATCAGTTTCTAAGGTGAGAAAAATATGTGAAGAGTGAAAACACTTAAAGCATGAGTGTTTTAGTGAGGATTAGTTTTTTTTGTAATAGTTAAGTATGAGAGTTTGCTCCTCCAATTTTATATTTGTTCTAGATATTGAATACTTTCTCCGTTCTTTTTTAAATGCAACGGTCCACATTTCACGTTTGCCAACACACAAGTTTGACCATTAATATTTTTCATACCTTATTAGTAAAAAAATAAAAAAAATTGATTTTGAAACTTTAAAATGAGAAGAATTTAACAATATTTTTTTAAAAAAAATTAATTTATAATACATCAATAAATAAAGTAGAGTCAAAATAGAACATGTGAATAGTGAAAAAAGTACAATATTGCATCTAAAAAAGAACGGAAGGAGTATAAGAATTTTCTAATCCCAACAAGTATATCTTTTCGAGGTAAGGGTTGGATTGGTACTCGAAGTTGCATAAAAAGGGTCAAATAAGTCCTTATTGTCCGGCCGTCGCCATTTGAGGCAGTTCCCGGTGGAATTTTTGATGAATTTTTTTGAGCATCTTATTCATTAAGTCTAGTTTATTCATACCAAATTTCAACTAAAACTTCAATCGGCAAGGCATTCAAATGAATTCTTGAAGATAACTGCGTTTTTAAGTGTGCCGTTATCTTCAAGAATTCATTTGAATGCCTTCCCGGTTGAATTTTTTGCTGAAATTTGGTATGAGTAAACTAGACTTAATGAATAAGATGCTCAAAACATTTCGTCAAAAAAATTCCACCGGGAACCGCCCCAAATGGCGACGGCCGGACAAAGCCTCCTATATAAGAACTTATTCGACCCTTTTTATGCAACTTCGAGTACCAATCTGAACCTTACCTCATATCTTTTCCTTTGAAAAACATGGCTGCATTATTAGTAGCTAACTAATAATTCTTTGTTTATCGTGTATTTGTCAGCATATAAGCTAGTAGGAATCTTTACTATTTTAATTATTGTCCATGCCCGGATGTACATATACCAGTGCCTATACCGTACACCCGGATTTACATATACACCCAGTATTTTTGTAATTATTTCTAATTTGAAGGGTTATAATCAGATCTTGCTTCTTCCGTCCGCATTCTTCCCTGCGTAGGTCGACTACAGTAGGCGTATGTGGAGACTATTGCTTCATCGGTAGTTCTTTTTTGGTAAACTTCTTTTGCTTTCTATTTTTCTCTCTACATACTTCTTTTTCTTTTTCTCTTTTTTTTTTCTTTTCTTAATCACCTTTTCCATTGATTCCAACTTATGATGAATATTTAATGTGTTTGTTGAGTTAATGGCCCAGATAGGGGATCGGCCCATTTACCCCTCATTTAGACGAACGTCCAGCCCCATAAGGCAGCCCACCGCGACGAGCGTCCAGCCAGGACAATGGTGGATCACGCTCGCAGACAAAGGCCATGGCGACGAACATCGCCACCTAAGGCCCACAACCACATGATGTCCAATCCAATCTATATGACAAATTCTCCCAAGGGCCAGGATACGAACGGCCCACAACCCTTGCAAGAGCCATCAGGAGCAGGCCCCAGGCCAGAGGGGACGTTCATCTCCACAGATCAGGCTGGAAACCCCAGATTCTGGCGGAAAGCGCATTTAATGCTGGAGATTTGGTGGTCGAGACATCAGCCACTCACAGTCTTCCACATCAGCATTGCGAACTGCCCATTGGTGGTATAAATAATATCATTTATTTCATTGTAAAGGATTGACAACTTATTAGCCTAGCACTCTAGCATATTATTCGCAGCTCTTCTATCGTAGCATAGGACGAACGCCTTCGGCCTTAGCAAGTGTATTGTATCGGGGCGTTATTTGCTTATTCAACCTTCCCTTAATCCATCTTATCTGCTTGTTGGGTCAATTAATCATTCACACTTAAACTCTCCACTCGAAATCCTTGGGCTTATGTGTTGGACCTAAGAGTTGAAGGAATAAATCTCAACAGTGTTAATGTTTTAATTTTCTATTCTTAATTTAACATGAATATCTATTAGTTTATTAAATATTATTCCGTATGTACTAATTACTAACATGGGTTTTGTGTTATATTGAAATGAGTAAATATTATAAAAAGAGATCGTTGGAGGAGGGCGGCGTTGCGGTCATGTTTCGATTGCTGTCTGTTCGTTTATTTCGGTTGCACACAGCAGAGATGAGTTTGGTTGGAACAGATCTGGATTCCATGTCATTTGTGTTAGGTGGCGACAAAGGAGGCTTGGTAGGGATCCTGATGAATAAGAGCAACGTGAGGAAGAAGCTTCGGTACTGCTGGATCGTCCCCCTCCTGAACCGCCGCCATGGAGCGCAGGAGAGTCTAGGTTTGGTAACATCTTTTTATTTTTACCGTTTGTTTGCGTTATATTTTTTTACGATCAGACTATTTACTTTTCTGTTGCTTACTTTTATTATTGTAAGACTTTTGCATTAGGATTGAATATGTTTTGGTCTGCTTCAATCGTCTATGGCTCAGGTTTGTCCATTAAAGGATCAACGAGTTATATTGCTTGTTTGAAGATGATTAACTACGAGTCTGGTTGGCAGGCTGACGGTTGCATGTGATTCCTTACCTTTTTTTAACTCCTAAACGCCTAATGCTTTGATATTAATTTCAACCCCATTCTCCGAAAAAGTTCAGCCGTTTATCTACAATATACTACCTCCGTCCCGTTGGAATGTTCCCATTTTCCTTTTTTGGATGTCCCAATAGAAAGTTCTCATTTCCCTAAATGGAAAGTTATCCTACATCAAAACAGTGTCAAACAGTGCAAAATAGTGTCAAAAAGTGTCAAACAGTGTCCAAACAGTGTCCAGACAGTACTTCGTATTTCGTATAATATGCCCTCCCCTGTACGGCTGTACCAAGCATATACTCTACTGGTCTACTCTGTATGCAATTGTGTGTAAATTGTGAGGTTAGATAGAAAATAGATTTGTGCGGTGCTAGCGATGGCGAATGCAGCGGCAACATGTAAGGTCTTCGTGTACGGCAGCCTTCAAGCAGACGACGTCGTCCGGGTCCTCCTCAACCGCGTTCCTCCTTCTTCCCCGGCTGCCCTCCACCATTATCAGAGATTCAGCATCAAGGGACGTGTTTATCCTGCAATTCTACCAGCAGAAAGAAGTAAAGTCGATGGAAGGCTTCTGTGGGGGATCACTCTTCCCGAGCTGGAGATCCTCGATAAATTCGAGGATGTTGAATATGAGAGGAGGAATGTTGATGTTTCTCTTGTGGATGATAGTTCAGAAGTGTTTCAGGCGTAT